CTGGATTCCAGTTCAGTTCAGTGATTAGTTGTGGGTGTCTGCTTCTACCTCCACCAGCTGCTGGATGAGGGCTATCGGGTGGCATATAAGTCAGTCATCAATCTCATTATCAGGGGAGGGCATTTAAGGTAGCCTCTCCTCTGTTGCTTAGATTGTTAGCTGGTGTCATCTTTGTAGATCTCCAGACATTTCCCTAGTGCCTGATTTCTCTGTAAACCTAAAATGTCTCCCTCTATTATGGTATCTCCATTCTTGTTTTCTTCTATTCTTTGCCTGACTCAACCTTTCTGCTCCCTCATGTCCTCTGCATCCCTCCTCTTTTTCCCTTCATCATTGTTTTTAAGTTATCTAGGGACATAGAGACAATTATATACTAGGTATGTTTTTATCAATTACAACTATTACTCTTGATGTTTAAGTGGTCCATTTTAAATCAATTACATGGTTATTCTTTTTTAAAAGAGTTACTTATTTTTCTCTATATGAGTTTACCCACATGTATGTATGTGTACCGTGTATATGCCTGGTACCAACAGAGGCCAGAGGGAGGCATCAGATCTCCTGGAACTGGAGTTAGGGATGGTTGTGAGCCTGTATGTAGGGTGCTGGGAACTGAACCCAGGTCCTCTGCAAGAGCAGCAGGTACTTTTAACTGCTGAGCTATTTCACCAGCCCCTATAATTTTTGATGCCCAAATAGCCCAATTTTGGTTTGGGGTATAAAGGAAGGGCTTCTCTACTTTCAAAATAAAATACAATGATAGCATTATTAATTTTGCAAACCCTTTCCATTGTGATAGGAGACAGCTAGCCTTTCATCTGACACCATATTGCATCTGTTACAATACATTGTTTTGGTTGAAATACTTAGGAAAACTGTCCTTGGGACTCGGGGGATGGCACAGTATGCAGTCATAAGGACTTTAATTTGATCTTCAAAATTCACTTAAAATTCCTGTCCCATAGTTTAGCAGGCTTTTTTGAACTGCCAACCCCCAAATCATGACATGGAGACTTAACTATTCATTATGAAAGGTCAGCCTTAACTTAGGCTTGTTCCTAACTAGTTCCTATAACTTATAAACTAACCCATATTTTAAAATCTTTTTTTTTTAAATGACTTAGTTACCTTTACTCTGTACTGCCATTTTGCTTCTTCTGTGTCTAGCTGGCAACCCCTACTTTCTTCTTCTCAGAGCTCCCTCTCTCCCCTCAGAAGTCCTGCCTAACCTCTTCTAATGGCCATTCCACTCTTTATTACCCAATCACAGTAACACAGTCACACAATGTGAAGGATATTCCACAGCACCAAAGTGCTTGTAATTGCAGCACTGGGAGGAAGAGTTTGTTTGTATGTATATATCCTCCCTAAATTGTCCAAGTTTTCCTTGAGCTTTTGATCTCCTTACCTCAGAGCTCGCTCGTGCACGAGCGCGCACGCACGCACGCACGCACGCACGCACGCACGCACGCACGCACGCACACACACACACACACCCCAGTAGCTGGGATTACAGGCTTGTCCCAGCAGATCAGGTTAGGAGTAAAGTCATCATAGATAGTCTTTGCTACATCAAAACTTCCCTACCATCGGTATTTGTTGAAGTGAATCTTTGGTACTTAAAGATGTTTTTCATTCTAATATTCTGAAATCCATTTGTCTATGTCACAGTTGGGATGGATCATTTACCCATGTGATTTTATTTTTAAACTGAAAATACTGGTTTACTGAATGAGGCGGATCTCATAAATGTTGACATATTTAATTTCACAGTATCAAAATTTCCTTCTTCAAACAGTCACCACTGATCTCATCAGAAAGTCTACATAGTGCTCTAGGATGGCTAACATTATTTTTCTAAGACTCTCGTTATCGTGGCAACCAGTGCTGACAGTTTCTTTTAAATGATGGCTTACTTGATCCATTTTTGAGGGAGTGTCTGCCAGCACTTGCTGAGGAGAGACAGTTGTCTGTACTCTGAGAATGCATAACTTTGGGCTGAGGAGATGCTCAGTCATAAAAGGCTTGCTGTGCGAACTGAGGGCCTGAGTTCTAAATCCGGCACACCAGGAATGCTAAAGATGTGCCATCCAAAGTCGAGATTTAATGAAGGTGGGGCCAGGGGTGTAGCTCAGGACTTAATAACTTTAAAAAATTTTGTCCAGGGCATTTTTGAGTAAAATGCCCACCCCCATGAGTACATGCTGAGACATCAGCTGTTTTGCCTACTCCAGGTTTGACCATTGACTTGTGAGATGAAACAATATCTAAAGTCTTGGTGCTACCATAAAAATATACAGACCTTGAAAGAGTCCCT